TTCAACTTTCATGATAAAGAGATTGCACTACAGTACTTGTAATGGGGTAATTGAAAAATACTATTTTTTGTTTTTTTACAGTGCAAATATTTGTAATAAAAATAAATCTAAAGTACAGTTTGTATTCTGTGTTGTAACTGAAATCAGTATATTTGAAAATGTAGAAAACATCCAAAAATATTTAAACAAATGGTATTCTATTATTGTTTAACAGCACGATTAATTTTTTTAAGTCGCTTGACAGCCCTAATAAATTATGCTTCCATTGATCTTCTGCATAGGGACAAATTTCACTTTATGAATAGTATTTTCACTGATATGGAGGGGTTACAGTGTGCTGTAAACCACAGCTCTTCATGCTAATTGGAAAGATTTATGACCAAATGGATAGTAGCCTCTGCCTGAACTTTGAAAAATCTCCAGTGAGATGCTTATTCATAGAAAGGGACTTTGACCCATCCACAATCTATAGAGAATCCTCAAGACATTGCCATTAGTTCACTCCTCTACTACCCATATTTACAGCGGTATTTTATCTACAGCAGGGTCTGTTTCGCAAGAGCAGTTTAAAGTGGCTATGTTTATCAAATTTGCTAGTTTACAAATTAAAACCTATAAATACAAAGACTCTCACATACTGAACATTGTAACTTGTGTGAATCCTAAACTGCATCAATTAACTGTTAAAAGCTTATTCTACTTAAAACCTTACATAATACAAGAGATTGATAAGTGGCAGTCCTGTATGATCACACTGCCTGCCTCACATTAGCCCACAGTCATGTGCTTCACAAAAATAGAAATGTTACAGTAATAAAGCACAGGCCCGCAAAGGCATATCACAGCTTCTGATTACATTGGATAAAAGTACCAAAGAACACAAAAAAGAATAGGTGTTAATACTGATGAATTAAAGAATAACTATAAAGATCAAACATGTTCACAGCATGCTACATATACTGCTCAACTTAAAATAAGGTGAATACAATGTTGAACAAAACCAAAAGTAGTTGGCAGTGTGATTTTTGAATTGTGTTTCAGATACAAAGACATAGCATATACATTCATGATGTGGCTGTCCAGCAAAAATTGGGGTACAGATTTCAAGTTAAAAACCTATCTTGTAAGCTACAGTTTATATCCAGTTCTGTCATAATCAAGAAAGTATTTTGTGGCTTTGTGTATTTTCTCAGAGTCTCAAGACTGGAGCCCAAGTTTACAAGATCTCAATATTTAGCCTACTTTTGGAGGCTTGTTGAGTGGCTGTACCTGTCCTGTGAGCATGAGTATATTGTTCCCTGTAATCACACAATACCTTTTCATTTATCATGTGTATTGGTGGGGGGCACTGTTTGAATCATGGTGACAAAATGAATTCAGCATGAAGAGGCACAACATAAAACTGGATGTGGCAAAGTGTAGATGACAGTTTGTTTGGATGAATTTGGTGCCATTTTATCTACATCCTTAAAGCTGAACAGGCCTCTGATGCTCCATAATTCTTAAAACTTTGCCTTAAAGAAGTTTATAACAACTGCCAGAAAAGGAGATTCAAACAACAGTTTGTTTGTGCTTTCAAAAATTAAAGGCTGGCTCCCCCTATTCCTTTCTACTGCAGAATGATAAAAATGGGCAAGATACCACAATTACTCCATTGCAACCAAGCAACTCAAAGCTGTATCTTTTGTAAGGAAATCTCATTGGTAACCTGGGGGGGGGGAGGCGGGGGGAACAAAGCGTTGCCAACATCTCCCCTGCATACAGAAGTACAATCTGTGTATTTTTATCCATTTAATGCTATTTTATTTTAGGGAATAAAAACATTGATTTCCCTCCTAATTTTATTACTTCCTTCCTGTTAAACAGCCCCATATTTGCAGATGCTTAAGCATATAAGTAACTTTATTCATACAAGTAAATTTACTCAGGTAACAGTATTTGCATGGTTAGGCCCATTATTTTGTATATAACATCCTTATGATACTGATGAATAATGATATCAGAATAAGGAGCAAAACTTCCCACTGATTTCAATTAAAGCAGAATCAGGTCCTCTTAAATGGGATAAAAAACCTTCGCTGTGTCAAGTAATCATGAGCAGATGTATTTATGCTTAGGAGTTGTCCCACAAGAAGATAATTTGTTCTAAAGGCCATTATGAAATCTACCCCATTTTAAGGGTCTTTTCACATAGTCTCAAGTGATTCCCTGTTGAAATTCATTTTAGTCTCTTGCTCAGTTGTATAAAGGTATGTGTAAGAGAACTGAGTGGTCTAGGTTTAAAGTCCATACATGGGCAAAACTCCCAAAGTCAAGGGCAGTTTTGCCTGAGAAGAGCCTTCATGAGTGGGTCAAGTGTAAGTACTAGTGGACTTTTTACTGTAGACAGAAGGTGGGTGAGGTAATATCTTTTATTGGGCCAACTTCTGTTGGTGAAAGAGACAAGCTTTCAAGCTTGCACAGAGTTCTTCTTTAGGCTTTTTATTATAATCAGAGCCAGAATCTGATCCCAGTTGCCCATACTGATAGCACCCCTCCACAAGTGGTACAGTTGGTTCATATCATAAGGATGGCAGAATTGACCCTTAGAAATAAAGCTGTTAAACTAGTCTCCCTCCTTGACAGTTTGTGTGATTTCACTATTTAAAATAGGTACTCAATACTGAACTTTTAGAAGAGAAGCATGACATTTAGGCTTTGACAGGTCGGAGACCAGGACTGGGAACTTATCTCCGAACATTTGGTGGGAAAGAGACCTTTTTGTAGGCAGGTTTAGCCATTGAAAAGAGGGGCTCAGAGCCCTTGGTGAAGAGCAGGAGGATTATTCAGCTGGACAAGAGATGGGAATGGGGTGCCTGTGGGGACCAACTGCATAGCCAAATATAGCTGTTGTAAAGGTTAAAATAGCATAGAGTACGCAGATGCTATTCAAGCATCCGCCCACTGCTCTGCCAATGCATCAATCCTAATCTGGGACACCTCTGCTATTCTTGTCCTACATGTCTCCCATGCCTAAGGGGTGTGTGATTTTGTGATGTGTACAGCTTGCCAAACTCTTTCACTTGGGAAAGATTTCTTGATTTAAAATCTTCCAGAAATAAAGAAACTAGTGGCTGCACCACTGAGGATGGGGCCTTTCCCTCTAAGTTAAAAGCTGATTCTGAAAAATTTGACACTTTTGGCCAGGTTGGCAGCATTTGTGTGCCACAAGCAGAGCACCTGTCTAGATCAGCCATGGGTAAGTTCCATTTACAGATGGTTAATCCACTTCCCTCTCTTATTTATGCACTATGGGCCTGCTCGAAAGCCCACTGAAGTCAACACAAAGTCAATGGGTTTTGGATCAGGCCCTATGGATATGAAGACCTGACATAGGCTATATGCGTACTGAATCCAATGGGTGCTTGGTTCAAGGGGAGGCTGCAGAATTTACCCCTTAGAAGACAAGAATCTAAACTGGTCAGTCTGAGCACATCTGTTAAATGCATGTACTTATGATGAACAAATGCATATGCAGGAGAAAGGATGTCAAGATTTTACTCTACAGCTTATAGATTAAGATCTTTTGAAAAAGGTAATAAAAACCTATGTATGTCAATAAACCAATGCAAATCACACTATTCCTTTAATATCCAGCGAAACTTATTTCCATCCTATTAACTTTTGGCAACTGAACACCTTCAAAAATCTGGTTCAGAGATGGAGATAGGAGCCTGCCAGGATTTTCAAAAGTGCCTAGGTACCTAACATCCATTAAACATAATGGGGAGGCATTTTGGAAATCCTAGAAGGCACCTAATCTGCATGTTTAAGTGCCTAAATACCTTTAAAAAACTGGCCCTTTGTCCCTTTCGATTTAAGCTTTTTTTATTATTAAAAAAATCTTGTTTTTCTGATTTGTTCTAATCTGCCTTAAATTTACGGTAACCCTAAATATGCAATTTTTAGATTTGCAGCTGATTTTGTAGCTTCCTCTTGCTAAAACATTAAACAAATTAGCTTGTTTTTTGGTTGTTTTGTTAAAAAGCTGATGGGGAAACAACTCTCTGGCCCAATTCTGCGTAAATCCCAGCAATATTCATGGAAGCATCCTATGCACTAGAACTGGAGCAACCTGGATTTTGATGGATATAAGTGAACTACCGAAGCATTTCAAAAATTAGTTCTCATGGGACTCCACAACAGTTTGAATCACCTGCTGTTAGCTTAAATTGTATTTTGCTTAGTTTAAAATGAATTCTGCTATTATGGGACTACAATCCCATGATGTTCAATTGCCAGTTTTATATTCCACAGAATACTGAGCTAATGCAAATGGCTTTTCTAGCTTGTACTTCTCCCCCCTATTTTCATTACAGACAAGCAATTTCAGAGAGTATTGTTCTGCACCTGACCAGAATACAAATATTTTTAAAATGCTCTTAAGGTTAATCAACACTCCAATTGCATTAAAAAAGTGATTCCCTATTTACAGCCTTTCCTACAGTATGTGGTTAGTCATTACCCTAGTGAGCCAATAGTTCAGGCCTTTTCTTCAGCAGACAGGAGATGATGCATTTGTCTTTTTACCTTGGTGAAGATTTGGATTTTGATGACTAAATGTTAATGCTGGTAAATATAAACCCCAGCAAGGGAAAGCAAAAAGTCAGTATCTGTGCATGTACTCCCCTGGATTATTAAGGTACATTTCTGACAAAGGAAGTTAACAAGCAATGAAGTTTGAGGATTCACATTCACACGTGCATTTTTTAAAAACAGTTGCACATTTAAGTTTGGCACAAAGTGAGCCTAAGGTGTAGGTAAAATATACGGTATAATCGTATACTTTTAACACCTGTCCTGAACAAACATCTATATTTTAAAAATATCACATTTTGAGTATAAAAGCTAGGCTATAAGTGATTATACAGTAAATTCAATACTCTGAAAAAGTGGAAAACAGCATTGTAACTTTTAAGTTTGCATTTTATATAGAAAAGTTACAGCAAACTAGTTGTCAAATGACATTTCCCAACGTGGAATGCCATGAGGGCCATATTAGATTAAATATGGCACCTTCTGAAATCAAGTTTTGTTGTTGTTTTTTTTAAACTGATTCACTATGAAGAGATCAATTCATTTACAATTTATGTATTTCAAAATCTAATCACATACTTTGCTGAGAAGGCAATTCAGCTGGAAAAGTAAATTCTGTAGCGAAAGATTAAAATAAAGGCACTAAAGTTTCCACAACTAACACTCAAGCTACTTTAAAATCCTTATATTTCTGAAGAGGAATTAAGTGGTTATGATAGTTACCTAAAACTAGTTTCACCTTCCTTCCAAAACTTAACTGTTCTTGAGAAATACCTGGCTTCTCATATCAAAGGAATTTCACTGTACAGTTCCCATCACTTAAAGACAGAGTTACTAACTGAAGAACGTCCTTACCAGATATAATTGTTACAAGCAAAAACTCACTAGGTGCAGCCACTATAGTTAAGTTGAAAAAGATTATAACAAGTTAAAGTCAAATCTAAGGTTATGCATATCAACCTCTCACCACTTTGTCTGAATAATCTTTGTAGTTGGCTATACAAGATTAATAAATCTTATTTATGAAATGTTTTATACAGGAGAGATTCTGATGCACAGTTTGATGGATAATTTCTTATCTTGGCTTAAAAAAATTAGTAATTTCTTTCTCACAAGGCTTTTTATGCAAATAGACTGCTGTCCAAAAGTGCAGAAAAAGTGTATTTAAATGTACAATCATTTAGTTTTCCAATCTGGAACAGACAGCTAAAGCAAAAACTCCCAACATGTGGTGTCACAGCAAGTTATTAAGAGAGGGAAGGAGGATGAAAACTAACTTTAGTAGCATACTGGTCCATGTTTGTTTGTTTCCCCTCAATGAAAGATGTAAAAATATGACTACTATGTTAAAAAAGCTATACTGCAGTTTTCAATGGAAAAGCTTTTTTACATCTACTACAATTCAGAGGAACTTTAAAAAAAACCTAACTGGTTAGTTTCTAATACATGTAAAAGCAAAATAAAAAGTCACCCTTCTTATAGCAAAAACCAAAACCAAAACAAAAGATTTTTTAGCAGTGACAGCTGTGTCCTACTGGGAAAGTTTAAGCATCAATTTAGGCACTTCACTGGTTCATTAACACAATCCAAAGTAAAGCTATAAACACTGAAATGTTGTGCTCTTAAAATCAGTCTAGTCAAGCAACACAATATAATGCAAAAATGTGACTTTTTGGCAGCTTATTTCTTCCCTTCCCCAATATTACCAGTTGTCCAAGTACATTTTATTTTGTGGCTGCTTTGGCACTTAAATATCAGATTGCTGAAGCCATACAAGCTAAAACAAAAATGCTAAGCCTCGGACAATAAAGAAATTGTTTTAAAATTTCTTTATGGTTGTATAAAAAGGGCACTTCAGTAGTGACATAACAGGGAAAAGCTTGCTTTCTTTTTAAATATTGCACTTTTCTTTTGTTCACACACATTAATGCATAGAAACACAATTTTAGCTTTGAATATTAAAGTGTTCAGACACTATGAATGAAAAAATTTTAGGAAATAAATTTCTATAACCTACTAGGGAAAGAACAGGTATGACAGCCTTCCTTTGCTTTACTTAATTAAAAAATGCACTGGAGAAAGGAGAGTGCAAAAAAAAATTTTTTTTGGTCAGTCTCTGTATTACATTTACAGGCGTCAACTAGGTGAACTTGCAAGCAACACTATGATGAGCATGTATGCTGTAAAAAAGATTGAGGGTGACTGTCAGTAAGACAAGATTATCCATGATTGAACCATAATATGTACAACTGAAATGGATAATTGTGAAACCTCTTCTTTTGGAAAGAGGAAAGGAAAAAAAAATAAACTGAATTTTGCATTTCAGTAGCATGCTGTAGAATTTATCATGATTAATGTCACATTAAAACGTGGACAATGTTGGCATTATATTTCACATCACCTTCAATTGCTGTAGTAAAACAGTGCCTGACAAGTAGTCTCCAGGAGATAAAGAATCCTGTAGCCAGTTCAGTTTAATACATCACATGCTTCTCTCTACTAGCATTAGGACATTGTTTTAAGATCTCTTAGAATGTCCAAAAAACCTTTGCTGAATTCCACTAATCTGAAAAATGATTGCTTGAAAAGATAAACACTTTTTTCCTGTGTTTCAGAACAAAGCGCTAGAGTTGAGTATAACAAAACTAGTTTTAGGATTTTGACCAGTATCCTGAAATCGAACCAGAAAAAGTAGTGCTCCTCAGTGTTATTTTTGCTATCATTAGTAATGTTAAGCATCAAGAAAATAAAACACGTCATTGCACATTACAGCCGCCAAAAACACGGCTAAACTTTGACACTAGAGAACTGAGTAACTTGATGCTACATCACATACAGCTTCTGTTGTGTATCTATTTCAAAAAGGCCTTTACATATCAATTTAATTTCCTTCGCCCCCTCTGAATTGATACTTCAGGTCAAGTGACGAGTTATGGCACGAAGGGCATATAGAAGTTCTGCTTGCATACGGGCTTCCATTAAAAGTAGATTTACATGGACCTATTTAAAATTAAAAAAAAAAATTAGTCATTCATTTCACCATTACATATCAACAGGCAGAAGAGTTTAATCACTTAATTATCTTACAGATTTAGATTTTTGTGCCAAATGAAAATAGCTGCATCACTTCTCTCTACATTCTAGTGCCACGTACTAGACTGAAGTGTTGCCATTTCTTCTCCAGATGGCTATCTAATATGCCAATTTTATCTGACATTCTGGACTCCCAGGTAACAAGCCTTAATTACTGCTTTAAGCAGTGTTCCATCTGCTTTAACCGAAGTCACAACAAAACAATGCTGTACAGTAATGGAAATCATAACAGAAGACTTTCCTTTCATCATGACTATGAGCATTATACTCTGAGGACTAGATTTCTGTTATCAGTGTTATATAATCAATCCACCTGCCACACTCCATATGTACTATGTGAAGTCAACTGTCAAATAAATGCAACCTCAAGGACGGCAAGTTATTCCAATGAAGAAGACTGAGGCTGGTTTCAGAATGACATTTACTTAACAAGGAACAGAAATGCACATATCGCTGCCCGCTGCGTTAGCATCTGGCCTTACTGCACAACTATCTCAGGAACTTCTAGCAGCACAATGTCTCCTGGTACAATGCTGGGGCACTGGCTCAATTTAGGAGTGAAGAATACCATCTACTGAATCCCTCACACCATTCCCTGAAACTTCTAGTATCTATCCCACCCAAGTATTGACCAGGTCTGTTCCAGCTGAGCTGGTGAAATTATGAGACCATAACAGTTATAAATAAAGGAAGATCAACAAGAGATTTATCCTAGCTTATCTATTACAGGTCTTTAAGAAAGCCTGCTTGTGTCGAAGATCTACTCATCGTGATTGGAGGCATCTATAGTAGTAGTTTAGAGAAAGTTGTATAGATTAGAGAAAGGACAAATAATGGGCAGTATTGTGTGCCATCTCAGGAGTGCGATTTTTACGTCATTCCTGTTTATTGTATTGTGCACAAGTCACAGTGGCCACAGGCCCAATAAGATATTTTGCTTAATGTAGAGCATAATTTGTATGCCACTCATACTAAAAAGACATACAAGTATTATCAATGCTTGGTAATGAACTTTAAAATAGTGTGTATGTATACACACACACACACACACACACACACACACAGATAAACAATGTATTTTACCAATGAAAAGCAGCATAGGTAAAGTTAATTTATGTTCTCTATAAGAATCAAGAAGTTTCGGAACAGTTGACTACTTCACCATTTCCAAATCTGCCCATTTTTCTATACAGAGATCTCTGGATCTAGCTTCATGTAGGAGTCTCTAGAGATTGTCCACATTGTGCTCATTAAGAAAATGTTTTTGCAACAGTGAAATTTAACATTCATTGAAGTAACTTGTATGGCTCTGCTGTACAGTATTTAAGTTAATTCTTTAAGCTTTTTCTTTATTGTTAAGAAGGTTAACTCTAGTATACACACACCCTTTTGCAATCCACCTTATTATTTGCATTGTTTACATAGCACAGGGTCTCTTGTGTAATGTTTCGCTATGAAACACTTACCTTCTCTGAGTGCTTGAACTGACGCCAGTAACTATCGTACATGCGCTTGGTAGTTCTCTCTGGGTAGCAGGTCACTGTCTTAATGTAAACCTTCAGGCTGCGTTCAAGTAACTGATTAACTTCTCCATAATCATAATCATCATACCTAAGCAAAATAAGGCAGACTGAATATTTTTTCTGGACCCACATGGCTTTTTAAATTCTGAAACAACATGTACTTATGAACTGAAATACTAGAAGGAGTGGTTACTTATCTTGTATAGTAACTGGAGCTGTTAGAGATATGTGGGTGCGCCATGTCAGGACATGTGCATGCCTGGCTCTTTTGATAGGAGATTTTGCAAGCTATGTCCGCGAGTCCATGCCTGCACCCCAGACACCCTCATGCTCTGGTATGAGGGAATATGGGGAGGGGGCAGCAGACCCACTGCCAGGTCAGTTCCTTCTCAACCATGGAAGTCTAGTGAAAGACTTTGAGGCAGAGGGGAAAAAGGATGGGAAGTAGAACACCCACAGGGACACATCTTGAAGAACTCCAGTTAGGCTCCAGTAACTTCTCCGTTTCAAGTAGTGTCCTTATGGGTGTTCCACATCAGAAGATTCATGAGCAGTACCTCATTTATGGAGGATGGTGCTGAAGAGGCGGATTCAGTAGAACAGCATCACTGAAGCAACTTCAGCTCTGGAAGTCGATACAAGAGCACAGTGCCGGGAAAATGTGTGCATTAAAGACCAGATGGCTGCCCTGCAGATGTCAAGGATAGGTATGTTTTTCAGTATGGCTACAAAGGTAGACTGAGCCCTGGTGGAATGAGCAATAACTCAGCGCATGTGTGTGTGGAAATCGTACCTCCTTTCATGCGTTCTGCAATTGAGATGCAAAAGCCTGGGTGAAGCTCTAAAGAGCCTAGTCCTATATAGGTAAAAAGCAAGGACTCTTCTTACTTTCAGTATATGGAAGCTCGTTCCTGCTCTCAAACAGTGAGGCTTGAGATAAACACCAGCAGGTGAATCCCTTAATGTGGAATTCTGGAAAACCTTAGTAAGAAGGGAGGGTGTGGTCGTAGTGTCACCTTGTTCAACAGAACACTGTGTAGAGTGGGGTTAGCCACTAAGGTTCCAAGCTGTCCTGCCCCCTGACTGAGGTGATGGCTATGAGGAATGAGGTCTTAAGGGATAGATCAATATTTGCCATAGGTTCAACTGAGTGTTTTTTCAGCGCATTGAGAGCTAAGTTGAGGTCCCAAGATGGAGTTGGTTCCTTGACAGAAGGGAAAAGGTTGAACAGGCCTCTGATAAACCTCATAGTGATTGGGTGGGTGAAGACTGAAAACCCCTCAATGGGGAGTGAAAAGTTGTGACAGCAACTTGGTGAACTTCCATGGAACTCAGCAATAATCCTGTGGCTTTTAAATTGAACAGGTAATAGTGTAGTGAACATTCTCAAGACTTGAAAGGCAGTATACATTGGTAATCGCACCAAGTCTGGAAGCATTTCCACTTCTGCAGGTAAGTTTTCCTCATTGTGGGTTTTCTGCTATGAAGCAGTACTGTTTGTACCTTAGAGAAGCAGTCTTGTTCTAAACCAGAGAGCCATCTAATAGCCACACCCTGAGATGAACTGTTGATAGGTTTAGGTGGGTGATGGATCTCAACTTCTGGGTGACGAGATTTGTGGTCAGGGAAGAGGCAATCGCAGGGACATGCGAACCAGATCTGGGAACCACACCTGGCTCATCCAAGACTGCTATGGAGGACAGCTACTAATTTTTCTTGTTTCAGTTTGTTCAGTGCAGTGCAGTGAGGGAGTCAGGTGATAAACGTACAGGAATATGTGAGGCCAAGGAATGACTAGGCCATCTCCTGTTGGGTTGCAACCATGCCCTCCCCTTGAGCAGAACTGTGTACTTCATATCGGATGGAGTTACAAAGATTTGTGGATGACACTAGGTAAGACATCTCCTGGAATACCTCATTCAGCTCTGACTTGTGGTTGATGCTGAAATGCCTGATAAGGGAGTCCACCACTGGTTCTGCAGTCCTGGTAGTTAAACTACTGAGATCTGTATGTGGTGTAATACACACCAGTTCCACAGTTTTATGAATTTGGTGCATAAAGACTGGGATCTTGCTCCTCCTTGATGACTGATGTAATATATTGCTGTTCTGTTGTCCAATACTATTCTGATTGGATGGCCCCTGACATGAGTTAGGAAGTATTGGCAAACGTAACAAACCACTCTGAGTTCTAATACATTGATATGGAGGATCACCTCCTGAGGGGTTCATCTGCCCCAGGTTGTAAGGTTTTGGAAGTGTGCACCACAACCTATCAAGGAGGCCTCTATCATGAATCCTTGGGGGAGGAGGCTGTAAGAAAGGGACTCCCACATGCATACCTTTTGTGGATCCTTCCACAAACTTAGAGAATCGAGGCACCTCTGAGGAACAGATATCTGCTTAGATTCATAGATTCTAGGACTGGAAGGGACCTTGAGACGTCATTGAGTCCAGTCCCCTGTCCTCATGGCAGGACCAAATACTGTCTAGACCATCCCTGATGGACATTTATCTAACCTATTCTTAAATATCTCCAGAGATGGAGATTCCACAACCTCCCTAGGCAATTTATTCCAGTGTTTAACCACCCTGACAGTTAGGAACTTTTTCGTAATGTCCAACCTAAACCTCCCTTGCTGCAGTTTAAGCCCATTGCTTCTTGTTCTATCCTTAGAGGCTAAGTTTTCTCCCTCCTCCTTATGACACCCTTTTAGATACCTGAAAACTGCTATCATGTCCCCTCTCAGTCTTCTCTTTTCCAAACTAAACAAACCCAATTCTTTCAGCCTTCCTAAAAGAAACAAATAAGTCATTAAGCATCTCTGCCATTTCCAAGTTTCCTGTTACTGTTTCTCCCTCTTCACTGAGCAGTGGGCCTACCCTGTCTTTGGTCTTCCTCTTGCTTCTAATGTATTGATAAAAAGTCTTCTTGTTTCCTTTTATTCCTGTAGCTAGTTTGAGCTCATTTTGTGCCTTTGCCTTTCTAATCTTGCCCCTGCATTCCTGTGTTGTTTGCCTATATTCATCCTTTGTAATTTGTCCTGGTTTCCATTTTTTATACGACTCCATTTTATTTTTTAGATCATGCAAGATCTCGTGGTTAAGCCAAGGTGGTCTTTTGCCACATTTTCTATCTTTCCTAACCAGCGGAATAGCTTGCTTTTGGGCCCTTAATAGTGTCCCTTTAAAAAACTGCCAACTCTCCTCAGACTGCCTGTTGGAGGTTTAACCTGTTCTCAGCCAGGCCTGAGGACACCAGGAGTGCAGTCTTGCTAAGGGTGTCTCAAACATACAAGCTGCAACATAGCACAGAAGTAGTAGGCAAGCCCTTGCTATTGTTTGTGGGCTCTATTGTATTGCTGAGACAAGCTCGACATAGGGCACATCTGTCCTGGGGCAAATAAGCTCTGGCAGCAGAGGAGTACAGAGTGGCTCCGATGAAGTCTAGTCATTAAATGGGTATGAGAACAGACTGTTCCACATTGAGGCTGAGGCCCAATGAATGGACCAGATATAGGGCCATGCTGGCTGCTGTCTATTCCTTGAGAAATGAGTGACCTTTCAGAAGCCAATCCAGGTAGGGAAAAACAATTGTTCATTTGGAGATGAAGATGTGCTGTGATGCCCAAGAGGACTTCAGTAAAGAGTGGTGTAGAGCAGGGGTCAGCAACTTTTCAGAAGTGGTGTACCGAGTCTTCATTTATTCACTCTAATTTAAGGTTTTGCATGCCAGTAATACATTTTAACTTTTTAGAAGGTCTTCTATACATCTATAATAGATAACTAAATTGTTGTTGTATGTAAAGTAAATAATGTTTCACAAATGTTTAAGAAGCTTCAATTAAATTAAAATGCAGAGCCCCTGGGACTGGTGGCCAGGACCCGGGCAGTGTGAGTGCCACTGAAAATCAGCTCGTGTGCCGCCTTTGGCAGGCGTGCCATAGGTTGCCTACCCCTGGTGGAGAGGCTGAAGGGTAGGATGCAATACTGGTAGTGTTGCATCCCACGAAATATAGAAAGCATCTGTGTGAGGGGTGCATGGCGATATGAAAATAAGCATCCTGGAGGTTGAGGGAGACAAACCAATCTCCTGGGTCCAGAGGAGGGACCAAGCTCCTCCCCCAACCCTGCTGCGCCTCCAAAGAAAGCGCATCAAAACAGAAGTTCGCCCAGGGTGCTATTTTCCCTAAGGCCGGCCCTGGGACTGAGACAACATTAGAGGGCTTGATCGTTCAGCAGCTGAAGAGTTGCATTAAACCACAGACCAATCAGAACACTGAGATTGGCAAAAAAAGAGTAATTTATAATTTAACAGACACACAGAAAGGGGTGCCACTGAGGGGGGAGGGTGTTTGTGGGGGTCTATAGCCATCCCCAAATTTGCCTTAGACATCCCGTAAGCCACCCCTCACAGCACAAAGGTCAAATGTTACGCAGAAGTAAGGGTGGCATGGTATAGCATTGCCACCATTTCTTCTGCAGTCCTGCACTGCTGCTAGCGGTGGTGCTGCCTTCAGAGCTGGGCACCTGGCCAGCAGCCATTGCTCTCCGGCTGCCCAGCTCCGAAGGCAGAGCCGCCACCAGCAGTAGCACAGAAGGAAGGGTAGTAAGCTAAAAAGTCTGGTGTGAACAGTGATATTGACAAAGTTTCTTCTCCCCCGGCCCCAGTTTTCAACACTAATTATTTAAAAAAGTGGGGGTTTTTTTGTTTGTTTTTTTTAAACTTAGTAAAAAATGTGTTTTGGTCTTAATTTAAAAGCAGCGAGAAAAGGTTAATTCATTTTAAACAACAGGGTTATAAATACAGCATTTAAAATAATGTGTTTTTAATTTATAAGGGGGGGTTTGCACTTAGAGGCTTGCTGTGTGAAAAGTGTCACCAATACAAAAAGTTTGAAAACCACTGGTCCCGAGGGAAGAATTGCTGCTAGGGTGACCATTCTGAACTGTTGGGACTGGACAAAGATGTTCAATGTCCTGATGTCCAGAATTGGTCTCCACCCCCTTTTTCTTCAGGACCAGGAAGTTCTGCTAATTTTTTTTCTGCTAGCAGTATCTCCCACAACTCTGGATGTCTGGGCTGTT